TTTATTTAGCCCAGTTCCTTACTACATTTACATGTAATAAATGCATTTATTAAAATAGAATATTAAATTATAAAGAAATGTTCTAATTTTTTTCATCTTTTCCCCCCTCTCCAGTAAAATAAAAAAAAAATCCCAAACAACCAGGCATGTAAATGCAAGGCAAAAGAAATGAAAGAAACAAAAGATGGAAAATGTGTTGCTGTTGATTTAATTCAAGAGGGTTAACAGTCTTAGCCTTTGCATTGTTGGAGATTTTTTAAAGGGAGTGAGTGTGTGTGTGTGTGTGTGTGTGTGTGTGTGTGTGTGTGGAGAGAGAGAGAGAGAATGAGAGAGAGAGAAATGAAAAAAAAGAGAGAGAGATAGACATCCCATCAGCTAAAAAATACTTCTGCAGCTAGAGTCTGGATAGGATAGTAATTTTGCTGTCCCCTCATTTAAATATAATTCCAAACGTACTTCTTAATGCATTATAATAATACTATTTTCTATATACTTTATGCCAATGAGGCCGTTATCACAGAATGATAACTTGGAACCATTCCCCCCTTTACATTGCTACCCACCCTTTTCACAAACACGCCAATACCTCTGAATAATGGCTTTGAAATGACATGACTGGCATTTGTCTTCTGTTCCCACTGGTGCTTCTGTGGGCAATGAATCCCATATGGGAGAGCTGAAAGGAAAGATCTGTTGCATTTCACCCTGCCCTTGGAAGTGATATTCTAATTTGAAACTCCAGGTAAAAAAATATTGAAGATTTAAATCCAAACAAAAAAACCCAAAACCAAAGACCAAAATTTCACATCAAAGCTAGCAAATTCTGATGCAGACAGAATTCAAACTATGTGCCAAGAATAGAGAGTTGCAGCCTTTGGTTGATTAATTGATTAATCAATTAAAAACATTTGAATAGCTAAAGAGCTGTCTCTTATTAATCATTCTCTGTTTCATTTGTTTAAAAATTAGTTTTAATACAAGTACTTACAAAGCTGCCAGCTTAGAAGAGACCAGGGCATGCCTCTTCTTCTAAGGTGATGCATGTCAGGGCAGATGCATGTGGGATCTAAAAACAAAAATGCCTTTTTTCTTTAGAACTATTTTCCTCACATGCAAATTTATGCAGATTTAATTGAATACTCATAAAGCAACTGAAATGTATATGATTAATCAACTAAGTTTTCCGTAATCATGTGACAGTCCTAAAATGTTTTACTTGTGATATTCTTGACCCTTAAGATTTTGAAGCAAAGAAGTAGCATCGAAAATGTTACCTTTTGTTGCTGATAACGAATTTGGAGTTTTAAATTCCAAAAGCTGAAAATAGGTCTAAATCTGAATTCCAAGATCCAAATTTTGAAATTCAGTTCTCAAAGCCACAGCCCTTACGTTTGGTTCCAGAATTTCAAATTCCTGTTCAAAGAAAAATTCAGACGAATTCCATGTCAGCAACACTCCATTTATGGCCCATCCCATCCCATTGCTGACTGCTATTTGGTACCAAATCCTGCCCACATTGACGGATTTTTGCTAGCCAAATCAGTCTTGCATTTGACTTTCTAAACACTCTCTAACTCACTGGCTTCGCACAGTCACATCGAGTCCTGTCTTTCAGCCCCTCGGTTTCTCAGCAACAGGGAAGCCCTGTGCTGCCTGCTTGCTTGTGCCCAGCGTGCCACGAACATGGCGGGCCTCACGGCCCACTCCCCACCTGGGCGCAGGCACTGCTGGGGCCAAAGGCACGCTGGAGTGGCGCTCGGCCAGGTGGGCCACGGCTGACGCGACCTGGCCAGGAGCAGGGCTCCCTTGCAGCAACAGGCCCTTAACCGGCCCGCGTCCATGCTGCCCTCTCAGGGTCTGTTGGCGCCAGTGCAGCAGAGCAGCTGTGGCTCCCCTGCAGAGCCCCGGGCCGGGGGGCTCCCCCAGGCCGGGGGGCGCAGGCTCAGCTCTGGCCCAGGTCTGAGAAGCTGCAGCACTGGCCGCCTGAATCCCACACACGCCCCACCTGGCTTTTGCTCGCCAGAGGACTGTCCGAAAAGGCCGACACTGCTCCCAGCCCGTCCCTCTGCTGGTGGGAGCGCTTGAGCCGCGTTCCCGCTGGGCTGCAAGGGCGCGGAGAGGCTGCCTCCAGTGGCGTGGCCCCCTTGTGCGGGGCCCCCCGCGACAGAGGCGGCGAGCCGGGCCTCCTGGCCTCCAGCCGGCATCTGTCGCTGGGCTGGGCCAGCAGCTGAGTCCGGGCCGCCTGCGGTGGAACGTGGCCCTGGGAAGGGCCGCCACTTGCCCATCGCCTCCCTGCGGGGGGTCCGGCCATCTCAGTGCAGATTTGGGAATTGGCACAGACTGGAATTAAAAGTTCCCAGATTACCAAGAACTCACCCAATCACACTGGAGGGGGTGCCTTAAAAAAGGAATCACTATTTCTTATCTTTATTGCTGGTGAATCAGACCAACAAGCCAGCTCTACACACCTGTCAAGGAAGATACTTATCAGAGCAAAAAGTTAAGGTCATGGGCATTTTTTCTTTTTTTTAAGATTTATATATATACATATATTAAAAAAAAGTAATTACGCAAATTTATTCCCATCCCCCTGCAGTAAGGAGCCCTGGGAATGTGGGGGGCCACCCCATTCGGAACCCTCACTCCCCCCACCCGCAGTATGCAGTCCCCCTCTCAGACCAGAGGTAGCTCTTGGTTTTGCAACTGAGGTTCTGCAACTTGGGTTGTTTTCTTTTTTCTTGCTACATTAAAAAATAACAAGGAGGGCAGGTGGGAGGCAATATATATATTTGTATATTCATATATATATTTTTAAAAGATGGGAGTTAAAATACTGCTATTAAACTAGAGTTGCTACATCAGGCTTTCTTTTAATATATATGTATATGTATATATAGATTAGATAGATAGATAAATGGTTATTGGAACTAAAAAAGATTTCTTTTTCTTTGCTTTTCTTTTTTTAAAAAACACAACTCAGGAGAGGCGAGCGGCCGCTGCTCCCGGGCAGGGCGCAGGCCGCCTCCGCTTCTGGTTAGCAAGTGTGGCTCTTGGTTTGGGCTCCAATTCTTCGTTACATCAGAGGAGGGAAAGAGCCGAAGCTTCTCATCCTGCGTGCAGGGGGGCGCGCTGCGCGCTCTCGTCTCGCCACGGAGGCGGCGGGGCGGGCGGGGGCCGCACCCCGGCCCCGGGCCCCCGACGCTCCCCGGAGGGGCAAGCCCGGCCCCGCTGCCTGGCGAACAGAATAAAACACCAACCGAAGACCTTCCCACGTCAACTACGAGACAGACCGCACTCCGCCAAGAACGACTAAACCCACCGCGCCCCTCCAGCCCCCTCCCCGGGGACCCGCCGCCCCAGCCCCGCCCGCCGGGCCTCCGGAGCCGGGGCCCGTCCTCCACCCCGTCCTATCTACACAGGCGGCGCTGCCCGGCGGACCGGGCCGGGCTCCGCCAGTCACCTCTGGCTCGCTTTCTCCAAAAAGAAGGCGCACCTTTCTCTGCTGCCCTTCCTGCCTCCCCCTCCGCTTCTACTGGGATTAATAAAATCTCACTTAAGCAAACGAGTTACACATATTTTTTCTTATTTTGGGAGGAAAGGGGACACTGTCAGAATTAAGGGCGTCCATGAGAGGTTTTCTTTTGGGGGGGGAAAAAAACTCATGAGACCAGATACTAAGATAGCAAAGTCTTTGCAGGTTTTCCAAAGGAATGCATAGAACATTGTTTTGCTGGCATGCCGAGACCTGCCAAGAGCGCTCGGGAGCGACCCATGCCCTTGCCCTGCGGATGGCTTGGGTCACAAGGCCACTTGGCCGGCTGGGGGCTGGCGGCCGGCAGCCATCCCATTCGCCCCATGCTGTCCCCCAGCCACGGCCCGCGCTGGTCTCGTGGAGAGCATTCATCTGCGTTGGCCAGGGAGGGCCCCGTTTCCCATGGCGGTCGGCCCCTCCCAGTCCGAGGTGCCGGACTGCTGCCAAGAACTGGAATTTGGAACGAAAGCAGGTGGCTTGTCTCACAAAGCTCACTTGTATGTAAAAAATTAAACCATTAGAATAATTTTGATCCTGGGAGGGTTTACACCCAGAGGCCAATACAAAACCGCAATGCTGAACCCACCCACACCAGCTTCCAGGGTGGGTGGGAAGGCCCAGAGCGGAGCTGATCGTGCCCGCTTTAGCAAGCAGTGTCCTTCCAGCGAGCAGTGCAAAACCAGTGGGGCACCGCCCTGCACACCAGCCTCAGGCCGTTCAGCTCCTGGATAACGCATGCTTTTGTCACTGTTAACGCCCCCTGGCCTGGCACTCCCTCGCTCCCTCCCTCCCTCCCTCCCTCGGTACTTGGACCATAATCCATTGTCATGAACATGCTAAAGTTCTGCTGAAATCAATCATGGCTGGCTGGCAGGACTGCGTGTACTCGCGCTGCTTCGGTGTCTGCCCTGTGCAGACGCGGAGCCAGGGTGGAATTTGGCACTGGGAGAGCCCAGAAGGCAGCCGTGGATTTGGAGGATGAGTGGTTCTGATGCGCCAAGAGCCAGGAGGCCCTGTGAGACCGTGGCTAGGCTGTCATACCCAGGCCTCCAGCCGAGGGGCGACACTTTGGTGTTATGTACAGCGCTGTGCTCCATCCCGAGGTGCACTACGTGATGAGAATAATGTACAGAAGGTTGCAAAATTAGGGGTAGAGTTTTGAGATTCTATTCAGCACAAGAGTACACCCAGCACTGCCAACAGATGATGGGGGACCACCTAGGATGGATCTACAGAAGTCAAAAGATGGTATTCAGGCTAGAGAAAAAGAGATTTTGCTTAGGAAGAGTGTTTAGATAGGATGAAAATAAGTCTCCTGTAAAGTATATGAGGTCAAAATATTCAGAATCTCTTGCCTTCTAGAACTGTGTCTAACAAGCTGCAAAGTTTCTTGGTTTCAAAGTTTCCTTCTAAATAAGGGTCCAAGAATGTAAGCAAATGGCAAAACAGAAAATGGACATGAGTGTGAGTGTGCCTGCGTATGCACGCCTGTACGTGCGCATGCATGTGCACACACATGCACACACGTGCGCAGCGACGTAGTGTTTTGATCCACCCCTTTCAATCTTGACAATTTGGCATCCAGGTAGCAAGTTGAACAAACCTGCCTACTTTCGGTTGCTGGGACACGAACTGGCACGGGGGCGACGTCAAGCGCTCGCCTCTCCAACTCCCAGCAGTTTGTCAAAGTATCTGATGTAACAAAAGCAGGAGTCAAATGTCTTGAAATGATTAAAGATGTTCAACAAGGCAATTCAATATTATTATTTCTTTTTTTCCCTTTTTTGAGCATGTGTCTGCTTCATTCTGAAAAAAATAGAATATATAAAACTAGGCAACCTCAGGAAGATCCAGATGAGGACAAGTGAAAAGAGGTTTTGGTCCATAAGGAAATATTCTTTTTATCTCTTTACTTGATTTTGAGTAACAAAAGTTTTGGTCCAGTTTAAAAAGACGACAAAATTATATATAAACATGTTAATTTGTAATTTTTTTTTATTTTTATTTTTTTGCTTTCTGTCAGGTTGTAGGTTGTTTTTAAGTGGGCCATGTTGCCGGTATTGCATGATCGTCTTTCTTAGGTTTTGCTGTGAAGTTGTTGTTCTTGTTGTTAAAATCAAAAGAGAAAGAAAGAAAACGGTTCCGCTGTTTGTGTGTGTGCATATACCTTGGCGTTGCATGGAACTGCACGCGGAGCGAAATGCCGAAACACGGAGGCCAACCTTCGCTATCCCCCCTTCCATGGGAAACTGGAAGGGTTGGTTTGGGTGTGAGTGTGGGAGGGGCTGATTTTGTTTTAGAAATACCCTGTTAGTGACTCCTGATTCTTATTAGATGAATCCCTGCTCAAATAGAAAAAGAAAAGTTCAAAAAACCGCTGCGGTTGCTCAGAAGACTCAAAATGAAAATTCAAAAGTGGCCAGGAGGATTTTCCTAAAGGGTTTGTCAACCCCCTTCTCCCCACTTCACTGGCTCTGATAGTATTTATTTCATTTTATTTATTTTTTCTTAGGAAAAAAATAGAGGAAAAAGAATATAAAGGTATTTAGCTGCTTCTTTTTCTTTTTAAATGTTTGAGGTAATACAGTTGTGCCCTCCTACGAACAGATTCCCAGAGGCGGATGTTTCCTCTCTCGCCATCCTTTCCTGTTTACCCTTCTGATTTCAGGCCTTTCTGAGCTTTTGTCCACCAGGCAGGTTGAAGTCCTGTCACCTCAGACCACGTTCAGACCAAGAGCAGGGCCGGGCTTGTGGGATGCGCAGAGGCCCCATGGCCTGTCCGATCGTGCCTTTCGCCGTGACCGGCAGGAGCCGCTCGCCCCGCCGGACATCTCCACATCACCTCCCGCATCGCTTGAAAATCTCTGGCATGTGTGAAGAGCTTTCCGTTTAAAAACGGTGCAGCAGACTATTGTGTAGCAATGGCCTTCCCAAATATTTCTGGCTTCTCCATTTTAATCTTATCATCATTACCATTATTTCTTTAAAAATAACATACATTGCTCCTAAAATAATTTCTTTCTTCTTCTTTAAATTAATCTTCTTTTTTCTAATTTGTCTGTTTGTTCTTCAGATGCGCTTCATTCTGCAGTTTCTCTCTCCCTCCCTGTCCCACCGCGCCATCTCCCCAAGTGCCGCCGGTTGTCTCTCTAAGAAAATATTCTAATGGCCTGAGTGGCTGTGGCGTGGCACACGGGGCACTCGGGGTCAGTCCGCTCGCAGATCCGCACGGCGCACTCCATGCAGAAGAGGTTGTGGCCGCATGGGACCAGGGCAGCCGTCACCTCGCTCTCGAAGCACACCATGCACTCCCGGCTGCTGGAGAGGGCCGTCCGGGCGGCGGCCGAAGCGCCCAGTTTGGAAAATCCTTGCAAGGGCTCCCCCTGAGACCTTCTGGGAAGCCCGGAGAGGGGGGGCTCTTGGATAGATGAGGACGGGGAACGGTGGGATGAATTGGGATGAATGGTGCCTGTATTGCTAGAGCGTTGCTGCTTGGAGAAGAGGATGGAAACAGGGTTGGTGTTTTCCTGCCCAGCCCACAAAGGAGCACCAGACTCCGGAACCCCATAATAGAGATCCTGTTTGTTGACACCATAGTTAGGAAAGAGGTAACTGTAATTGAAATCGTTTTGGTCGTTCAGCCGGGGCGTCTCGTAGGCGGGGTCAACAGAGCAGTCGCCGATGCACCCCAGGCTGTTCTGGCGGAAGGTGGAGAGGGGCTTGCAGCCGGGGGCTGGCGTGTGGACCCGCCAGGCCTCTGAGTAGCGGCTCTCCATGCTTGAGTCAGGGCTGCTGGACAGGAAGTCATTCTCATTGTTGTATTCAAGGATCTTGCCTGTCCGGACGGCTATGTGGGTTTCGATCTCCTCGCGGGCTCGCTCCACGTTGCCCGGTGCTCCTGTGATCTCAAAGACGGGGTCCCGGTCCCGACTGGGTGTGATGATGTAGGTGTTGGTCTGCTGCTGGATCCGCTTGATGGTGGCTCCTTTGGGCCCCACCACCAAACCAACGACACGATAGGGGACCCGGACCCGGATGGTGACTTGTCCCGGCAAGGTGGGGGCACTGCCAAAGGCGGCACCAGCCTTGTTCCGAGAGGCCCGGATCATGGAGAAGTGCTCGGCTGCAGAAATGATTTCTCTTCTTGCCATGGCGACATCTTCCCGCCGTCCCGTCACCATGAAGACCGGCTCCTCACCGCGCACTGGAGTCTTGATGTAAGTGTTGGTCTTTGCCCTCAGAGCTTTGATCTTGCAGCCTGTTAAGACAGAGAAGAAGCAAAGAGGGAGCATTACTGGTCAGGCCCAAACCTGAAAGCCGTGGAAATGGTGCCTCCTGACTGGGGAGCTGAAAAAACAGTAGAAAAGGGCAACTGAACAATTTGGAGGCCAGGGCAACTTCCCCACAGGAAAAGGTGGCCATATTTGGGGATTTCTCGTTCAGCAAAACATGACTAATGGGGGACATGGAAGGGGCTAATAAAATTATGCATGATGTAGATACAGTGGAAAGAGAGACCCCCCCCCCTTTGCATGATTCTGGGTGGCCATAAGAATGCAAGGAGAATATAACGGACTCCCATCATTTCCTGCTGGTATGCTGTGCATTGCAGGCCCGTGCATCTGGAGGGCCATTAGGGAAGCCGTGCCAAAGATGCGCCAAAGGCCAGGGACTCACTGGTTCCTGCATCCTGTTTCTCACTGTTCTGGACCTTGGAGGCCCCAGAGTGCCATCAAGGCCATGGGACAAATCCACGGGTGCCAGATCGATCCACTACCAGTGGCTCTGGTACCTACGCAAGCCTTCCTGCTCAGAGGAGGTTTGCCTCTGAATACCAGTTGCTGGAAGGGCCAACGGCTCTGGCTTTCCTGATGCATTTGTGGGCCTTCCAGAAATGAGAAATGGGCTCATGTTGCAGAATCTGGCTGGACAGCAAGAAGAACTTCCTGAGCAGTATGATGATGGGACCCAGGACCCAAGGAGGTGGCGGACTCTCCCACGCTGGAGGCAATGGACAGCCGTCTGGGAAGGCGGGTTTAACGGGGATCCCTGCACTGAATGGGGGTTGACCCCGGTGGCCCAACAGCCCTGTCTCCCTCTCCTACTCTAGCATTCTGTGAGCGTCCGGACGGTCATGGCAAGGGCTGGATGCTGCGCTCCCTCGGCCAGACGGAGCAAGGCAGGCTTGTGCTGCTGAGGCCGGGACTGCAGTCCTGGCCAAGCGCTCCAGGCCACAAGGCACTGGAGCCCCGTGCGGTTCAGGCGGATCTTCGTGCTCCCCGGGGATAAGGCACACTGATCCCAGTGAGCAGCCCCTCGCCCGTTGCCCAGGTGGCTTCCCCAGTTCCATGAGGGCTGGCTGGTGTGCAGGTGCTCCTGGGCTGGAGGCGGGAGCCCCTGTGGGACCCCAAGCCTGAGCCCAGGGGCCCCTCTGGGGCTGCTGGCCCCTGCCAGGCTGCACACCCCGGACCAGAGCCTCCCCGGTCCGGCCACCTGGGCAACCAGCCCAGGGCACAGCCTGCCGGAGCAGCGAGGCTGGCCCGGGCAGCTCCCGATGGCCACGCAACCTCGCACGTGCCTGCGAGCTGGGCCTGCAGCCAGGCACCCTGTTGCGCCCAGGCGGGACAGCCGCTCGGTGGGCCGGGGCGATGCCCATCCCTCCGTGCCCTTTCTCACCAGCCACGGAGGCCCGGCCATCCCATATGGGGCCTGGTGCGTGGACGAAGGGGGGCAGCTGTGCTCTGGTTGCTGGATGTGCTGAGCTGCTTGCTCTGGCACTGTGTAAAAGGCTGTCCACAGGCAGGTCCCCTGCAGAGGTGCCGGAGGACATGGAGAACGCAGGCGAGCGCGTCTGGAGGGGGCCCGGCTGGTGGCAGTGGGTGCACACTGTTCTAAGAGAGTCCCGTGGGGTTGGGGCGCAGAAGAACCGCCTCCAGATGCAAACCAAGGGATGCTTGGGTGGGTTGGTGGGCTGGGTTCCTGTGTTGCAGCCCTGCCGAGGAGGAGCAATCCGGGTCCACTTGCCAAGAGGCAGGCGCTTTTCCCCTTGGACCAGCCTCCTTGTGAGCAAAGTCTGGAGCGCCAGGAAGACCCAACACCCCTTCTTCATGCAAGAAAATTATTTTTCTTCTTTCTATCTAATCCCTGCAGAGCTCACCTGGGGACAACCAGTTTCTCAGCCCAACCTCATTGGCTTGGGGACAAAAGATGAAGCCCTTGCAGGTGGAGGGGCTAAAAATACCTGCTGTCAAGGCATCCCGCTCTATCCTGCAGCCCAGAACGGTTAAGAGGTGCTAAACACGCCTGGTCTTGTAAATGAGTTCAGGACAGTTTCTCCCTTCCCTACAAGTCCACCATGTTTGTTTTTAGCTAAGCCAATGGCCTTCCTGGCATTTTATCTTCCTCCCCACCTGGATACGAGTTGAAAGGGCCTCTGCAGAATTTCAGCCTGGATCTCTCCAGCAATAACCTGGCTCTGCCACTGCTTTGCCATGCCTCCTAGAAATTCAGCTTAATTTTCCAGGAAGGATCATTCAGAAAGAAAACGGAATTATTTCTTTCCCTAATTTCATGGAGCCAGGCTAAATGATTCATTCCAAGCAAATCTGAGGTACGTTCTCAGGAATTCCACTTGAGATGGTGAGAGCGGGCAAAAAGCCCCTGAAAGCAGCACAAGGTTGGCTTCTCTTCTGGAGGATGTGCGTGCAGCTTTAGTAAAGCAATACTGGCCCGGGACTGATCCCCCCTCTGCGTGTGACCGTGCGCACCCTGCACGGAGGGCGCAATGGCTCCGGGGCGTGGATCCGGCCGGCGAAGGCAGGCGCCGCCGTCATCACCCAGGGCCCGCTTGCGAGCCAGAGAGGCTCCGCAGCTGCCCGCCCGTCTGCCGGCCGTCCATCGGAGGCGCTTCCCAGATGCGCTCAGAGCAGATGGGCGCGAGGGCCCTCCCTGCACGCGCGAGGGGCTCGGCTCGGCTCCGCGGAGGATGAGGCTGAGGCTGAGGCTGAAGGGGAGGAGAGATGGAGCCTAGCGCAAGGGGGAAGGTGAAACAAAGGGGTCATGGAGACAAAGAGACAAAGGAAGGGGGAAGCCCATGCTGGGAGCAGATGGGAGGAAGCCGGCCAGGCGGAGCCTTAATTGGGGACAAATGCTGCTGCGGCATCGGCCCCTGCGAGGCTGGGGGGGGGCGGGGGGGAGAATGGGATCGTGATGGGGAAACGGGGAGCACGAAGGACGAGGGCAAAGGGGGGGTGGGGAGGCGGGGGGATCCCGATTGGGGAAAGCAAGGGGGCGGGGGCGGAGGAGGACAAAAGGAGGCAGGGGCAGCCCCCACTCGGGCTGGAGGGAGGATCCGGTGAGAGGACAAAGGGCGCAGCGCAGACGGACGGGAGGAGGGGTCGCTGCCTTGAGCGGAGCGAAGGCGGCTGCGAGGAGCGCGGCGCGGCGCCGCCAGCCTGCGCCAAGGGGTGGGCAGCCCTGCGACGCCCACTCCGTTCTCCCAGCCCGGGCAGACGCAGCGCGGCGGGCCCCCGAGCGGGGTGCCCGGAAGGGGGACGTAGCCCACCCCGGTGCGAAGCTGGGCCCTGCGACTCCGCCAGCGGATTTTGTCCCCAGGAAGACTCACAGGCGTGGCACTGACGGGCTTTGCCACATCCCAGGAAGTCATCCCAAAATGGAATTAGCGGGGCGGGCAAGTGACTTGCCTTGATAACAGAGTAACTGCCAGAAATGTTCGCCATGCTGAAATTCTCCCAGAACGTTGAAAAAAACTGCATCTTTGTAATGTTGTGCCACGATAGTGACAAGCTGAGCTTGCCTCGCCCCGCCATGAATTTGGGCAGAATTATCTGGGCTCGCGGTGGGGCTTTGCTGCCTTTCCTGTGCAGGGCATGCTCACAGGATAATTTCTATATGCAGAGGTGCATATATTTATGTATTTGGAAATGAGGACAATTCTATATTTATTTGGTAAACAGCCTTCCAGTCTGACATGGTGCCGCTCCAAACAAACATGGGTTGGCCTGCCTGGGTGAGAAAGGCCCCGGCATGATTGTGTGTGCGGGGCAGACGTTCCCTGCAGTCCGGCTGTGACAGGCCCGTGCAGTGCACAGGCAGTGTGCCCCTGAAGCACAGGCCCTGGTGGGCAGGCCCCGGCCCTCTGCCCAAGGCGGGAACAGGCAGGAGGCTCACACAGCCCTGCCCTGCCCTGCCCTGCCCTGCCCGCGACACGTCTCAGCCCACGGCAAGCTCCGTGTGGCATGGTCTCCCTGTATGCCTCACCTGTCGGACCACGCCTGAAGGGCTGAGTCCAGTTCTAGGCAGCTACGCCTTTAAATGATGCAGAAAGGCCAGAAGGGTCCAGAGGAGGGCCACAGGGTGGCTCAGGACCTGGAGGCAAAGCCCGCTGAGGACGGACAGAGGACGGGGCATGTTCAGCCTCGAGAAGACCGAGGGGAGCTAGGAGAGCGCTCTGCAGGTCCCTGAAAGGCTCACAGAGAGGAGGGGCAAGATCTCCTCTCCATCATCCTGGAGTGCAGGACACGGGACCAGCAAACAGCAAGCTACAGGAAGCCAGAGGTAGACTAGAGGCCAGGGAGAATCGCCTCACTGTCAGAGCAGCCCCAGGCGGAGCCGATTCCCTGGGGGAGCTGTGGGCTCTCCCTCGCTGGAGACATTCAAAAAAGCATCTAGGCAGCCATCGGAGCGGGGTGGCGCGGCTTGCAAGCGCAGGGGTCGGGCCCGGTGGCCCTCTGGCCCTGCCAGCTGCTCTGCTGGGCTTCTGTGACCAGCCTGGCACGGGGCTGCGTGTGTGCTTGGCTTGGCTCAGGGTTCAGGACACTGAGGCAGTGGCGGGAATCACCTGCTGCCCCTGGGCCCCCCAGTCTGGTCCCCACTGCCAAGGCGGAGGGAACGGTGCACCCCAGAAGCTTCTGGAATCCATGTGTGGCTGTGGGATTTTCTGGGAGCTGCAGCCTGTGCTCCTGGCCGGGCCTTGTTGCTGTGTGGAATGGCGGGCGCAGCCACGCAGGACGGTCGCCTTGGCAGGGCCGTGTCCCGAGGTGCCACGGCCAGGAAGCGCCAAGGGGTAGGCAGGACAGCCGGAGTGCCGGCAGCGCAAGGAGTGTCCCATGGGTGAGCAAGTGCCCGGGGAGCACAGAGTTGCCCCTCCGGCACGGTGGGGGGCAGCACGCCAAGCTTCCCAGTGGAGCCTGGGGGTGCCTTCATTTGCTGCAGTGCATGGGCCGCTGGACCCCCCCG